TTTTGGGGGGGGGGGGAAGACACCTACTCAGTTGGGTTCCTTATAAAGAGCTAACCTCAGTCACTGGGCAACCCCTGTCAAAGTCAGAGCCAAAGTTATGTTACAACTGACGGTTAGTCAGCCAGTCTGTCTTGGAATAAAGCACCCATCTGGGGCTTAAGACCAGATCTTTATTACTGTCTGACAGTTGGAGGTTTGTTGATGTGGGGCACTCTCTCTGACAAGAGGATGAGTCTGTTGTTTGCCTGAGTCACAGTCAGCAGTAATAAGTCTGTTGTTAGTATGTAAAATTTACATTTTACGTGTTATTAAATGTATATATATGCAACATATACAAGGCCTCTGTAAGTTCAGGCTCAGTACAGCAGATCATGCCCTACCATTAGTAGCTCCTGCTACAACAGCAGTCTAGTCACTTGAACGGTTGTATGCTTGACTGCCACCAAGTTTAAGCCTCATACGATGGGGTACCCAAAAGAAACTGAACTAATTTTTTTGTTGGCAGAGCTTTTGTAGTACCGCGTTTTGCCGCTATGAGCGCATAGAGCTAACATTACTGAGTCGATAAGCCAACTACCGTTGCTTCAGAAGGTAAGGACTAGTTTCGGCAGAGTTTATAGTGACAACTGTTTTGTGTGATCGTCGTTTTTGCAATGGCTGATTTTCGTGAACAGCGTGCGGCGGTGAAATTCTGCTTTTTGCTTGGGAAAAGTGGAACAGAAACTCTTGAAATGTTAAAAACGGCGTACAAGGACGATGCTGTGGGGAAAACTCAAGTGTTTGAGTGGTTTTCCCGTTTCAAAAATGGTGAAATGTCAATTGATGACAAACCTCGTTCTGGTTGTCCTTCCACGGCCCGAACACATGAAAATGTTGAAAAAATTCGTGGAATCATGAAGGAAGATCGACGACAGACCATTGAAAAAATTGTGGAGCTGTCGGGAGTGATTTGGAGCTCAGCAGCCAGATTTGTGGCAGTCGGGTGACTGGTTTTTCCATCATGACAATGCCCCTGCTCACACAGCCCTGTCTGTATGACAATTCTTGACCAAAAATGGTATGACCCCTGTTCCTCACCCTCCATACTCACCCGACCTTGGCCCGTGCGACTTTTTTTTGTTTCCTCAAATGAAAAGAGACATTAAAGGAGAAAACGACGGAGGCACTGTCAAGCATCTCAAAAAATGAATTTAGACAATGTTTTGAAAAATGGAATAAAAGACTAGACAAGTGTATTAGTGTAAGTGGAGAGTACTTTGAAGGGGATTGAAGGTTTGTGCTTAAAATTTGAATAAATAAGTATAAAAAAAATAAGTTCGGTTTCTTTTGGGTACCCCCTCATATATTTCCTGTTTGGGTTTGTCTTGTACAATGTTGTGAACGTTTGCATTTTCATGATTTTGTATGACTTCTGCTTCTTGCCTGCATAATTTTGTTATATAATCATATGTGTATGGAAGTTTGAAGGCCATATGCAAATTGTGAAACAGTGTGTGCCTTGAAAAATTTCCAATGGTGTGGAAAATGTTGTTGTGCAGGTGCCGCAATGTCAGTAGTTGAACAGCCCCTGTCTGAGTCCTATATTACAACTGATGAGCAGTCTGTCTTGGTATAAAGCACCCATCTGGGGTTTATGGCCAGATTTTTATTACTGTCAGACAGTTGCGGGTTGGTTGATATGGGTGTGCTCTTTCTGATGAGAGGACAGGTCTGTTGTTTACAATTGCTTCTGGTCCTCGCCAGCACAGTCATTTTCGGGTTGGAGCCCTGTCGGACTTGTGACCATATTTTACTGTCTCAGATTTGAAACTTCCCTTTTTGTCCTCTCCTATGACTACCATGGAGGTATTTGACCCTACCTCCACGCTCCGAGTCGAGTCATATCTTATGTTACGACCAACGGTCAGTCAACTAGTGTGTTTTGGAATAAAACACCCATCTGGGGCTTAGGACCAGATTTTTATTACTCTCAGACATTTTCTGGTTTGTTGTGATGTGGGGTGCTCTCTCTGATGAGAGGATGGGTTTGTCGTTTACAATTTTGGCTGGCCTTCTCCAGTGCAGTCATTCTAGGGTCTGAGTCCTGTGGGACTTGCAACTGTGTTTTACTGCCTCAGATTCAAGACCTTCTGTTTTTATTGTCTCCTATGGATCACAGGGCTGTGGTGGAAGTATTCAGTCCCACCGCCAAACAGGATGACAACACCAGTCAGATTCACACAACTATTTAGTCACTTTAGATCAGGCTAATTCGGCAGGAGATAACAAGAAAATATGTGATACAAATTTTGATAGAGCATGCACATGCATGAAACTAGAATAGAAAAGGAGGTAGAAATTTGCATTATAAACGTAGCAACAAAACCAAGTGCATGAGCACCAGTGCAAAGAAATTGAAAAAAAAAATTGTGAAGACATGTAGTATCTACCACTAGCGCCATCTGTGGAGTAAAACCTGAACACACAAGACTGAAACATTACAGAAACCTGTCTTACAAAAATTTTGATAAAACACGCACATGCATGGAACTAGGATAGAAAAGGAGCTAGAAATGTGTGCTTCTTTATGGGTTTGCAGAAGGTTTCAGTCTTGAGTGTTCAGGTTTTACTTCACAGATGGCATTAATGGTAGATACTACATGTCTTCAAAAATATTTTCCATTTCTTAGCATTGATGCTCATTCACTTGGTTTTATTGGCTAGGTTTGTAGCGCAAATTTCTACCGTCTTTTCTATCCTAGTTCTATGCATGTGCGTATTTTATCAAATTTTTTATTGCATATTTTATTGTTATCTTCTGCCGAAGTAGCCTGGTCTCAGGTGATTAAATAGCTGTGTGAATCTGACGGGTTGTCTCTCTCTGATGAGAGGTCAGGTCTGTCATTTTTCAGTCATAGTCAATATTAGTAAGTCCTTTGTCAGTATTTACATATATTTACAAATTTAATCTTAATTCCTATTTCTGTGTACAATATATACAAGACCTCTGTCAGTCCAGGCTCAGTACAGCAGATTATGCCCTATTTATAGTAGTATTCACTACCATGGTGGTCTAGTCACTTGAACGATCGTGTGCCTGACCGCCGCCAAGTTTAAGCCTCTTATACTTTCTGTCGGGCTTCGCCTTGTCCAATGTTGCAAACATTCTCATTGTCATGATTTTGTATGACTTCTGCTTGTTCCCTGCATAATTTTGTTATATAGTCATATACGTACAGGATTTTGAACGCCATGTGCAAATCACGGACTGGTGTGTGCCATGGAAAATTGTTCGACACCAAGACAGACAGACTGACCATCAGTTGCAATGTGACTTTGACTTTGACTTTGACAGGGGTTGTCCAGTGACTGAGGTTAGCTCTTTCTAAGGGACCCAGCTGAATAGGTGTCTTCTTGTTATGTTGGCAACTCTCTAATGTTAAAATATAATGCTAGAGTTGGCAATGTCATAGTAAACAATTTTCAATAATAGACTGCGCTACATGTGCTGTTCCTAATTTCTTTGTTGTTATGTGTGTAAAAACAGAATTTCTCTGTTATTATGTGCTACCATGGTTATGTGTGTGAATATATATAAAACGCTTTTATGTATCAAAAGTTGATAAGGGAGACTGGAATGTGTAAGCAGTAAGAGGTCGAATACCTCCACCATGACCCTGCGAGTCGTAGGAGGTGACAAAAATGGAACTATCAAATTTGAGACAGTAATATATGGTCTTGAGTACCAAGAGACTCGGACCCGAGAAAGACTGCACTGGCAAGGACCAGCAGCATATACAAAAGACAGACCCATTCTCTCCTCAGAGAGGGCGCCCACAAAAAACAAGATCGTAACTGTCAAACAGTAATAAATATCTGGTCATGTGCCCCAGGAGGGTGCTTGACACCAAGACTTACTGACTGGCAATGTGACTTTGACTATCAAAAGTTTGTCTTAATAAAGCTGGGTTAGATTGAACTCTGATTCTTACTTATCATTCAATCCATGTAGAAGTGACAGTAACACTTCTCCCCCCCCACTTGTGGATGGAAACAGATCTAGTTTCCAAAATGTGTTTTCTATTTTCTTGAAAAAGTCCAAAAACCCAGTAATTAGCTATAAAAGTTGTAATAGACTGTGGTCTTTACACACAATAGTAGATTGTTTCTGGTTATGGTGTTTTTATACTTATGTTTCTTTTTCATGGGTCATGTGGAGTAAATTACTGCTGATCCTTGCTAGTATAGTCATTCAGGACTCGTGGCCATGTTTTACTTTCTCATGGCCCTGGGAGCTCCATATAAAGAGTACAGTTATTCTGACAACCGGTACATTCCAATAATTTTCCATGCATTTCTTTTTTAATTTCTGTTCCTGTTTACTTTTTCTTTGTCTTATAGTGTTTTCATCAGGGCCTTGTCTAGGGCATCAGTCTGTTCTAATTTATTGTCTCTTTTCATGCTCTCTTACAATTTCCAGTCTGTTAGAAGTAGACTACACTAAGCTGCTTTTTGAAGAATTCTTGTCTCAAGGAATTACATTTTGTATAGTTGTAGTGTAAGTTTTTGTGACAGCTAATTGATCCCATTCTGCATAATAATTATATTACTTATTTGGGAGGACTGAAGTGTTTTATCAATTGTTATCACAGTTCTCTTTGCAGGTATGCATTGTGTCACATATGTTATCCTTTTTGTTATCATCTTGTAAAATTGCTTACCTTTTTTGTAGCATAATGAAATGAATATAGTACAGTACATTCTTGCTTTTGTCACGTTTCATATTTTCTGTTACTTTTTCAGGCTGCTTGTGCATGAGATTATGTACTTTCAGGAATTCCTGCATCCTGCATATTCTCTTATTAAATATACACATACTCTCATGCAGTAGGTAGGCTACTGTTTCTAATGTTATGATTGAGCGTGCATTGTTTCAACATATGTTCTTAATCATAGGATCCAAATTAAGGATGTGCTGTTAAATTAACTGACATATGAATTATGACAAAATATATGACTGGGTTTTGCAGAATGTTCTGCACAGGTTTCATTGTAATTTCTTATTTATGTTCCCTTATAAGAAACAAATTATTTATTCTCATTGATATTTGTTGTAATGATATTTAACTATAGTATAGGGTGTTTGGTTTATTTCTTTGGGTCAAGGAAGTTTGACTATTTTTTGGATCTGACAGATATGCATTAGATGTTCTTAAAAAAATAAATATTGATTTTTGAATAAAGGGACATTCTTCCTAGCTGATAATGGTACCAGGTCCACCAGGCTTCATATGCAGGGCTCATTCTCATGGGGTAAAGAAACTGGCATGCAGCTACCCACTCAGCTCATATAGTGCTGAAGTTAGTCCTCTGAAGCATGAATTTCTTTCAAATAATTTTTAAAAACTCGATCCTGCTTCACAGGAAAAATACTGTGTCTCCATTAAGAAGACCAGTTGGTTAATGCAATTTAGGGAAATAATCACTGTTTATTCTTAGAATTATGTGAAACACATGTAACTCCGTGGTTGAAATGCAGGCTTTTTAAATGTTAAAGATGGCATGTAAAATAATCAGTATGGTTTGAAGGGTTAAAGATGTGTGGAGCTATACCTCCAGTACCCCGTAATACATCTTCATGACATGGTGCTTAATTAAGCATGCATGACCCCATTTTTAAGCGTTGGGTGAGGGTGTGGAAGTAGTTTGAATGACGAGGGTTAGATTGAAGAGTTTGCCAGTATGCAGAATATCTTGCAGATATGAGATTGGCATATTTCAGTAGGTATCGGGTAGCTAGAATACCTAGAATTATATTCTCTAGCAAATAGTAACACAGGGGGCATGCGGTAGCATAGTTGGTTGAGGCACTATGCTAGAAGCCAGAAGGTCATGAGTTCAAGTCCTGATGAGGTCATTGGATTTTTTCAGTTGACCTAATCTTTCCAGCCACACTATGGCCCTGGGGTCGACTCACCCTCTAACAGAAATGAGTACCAGGAATTAATTAAATAATTTTCTTGGGGAGTAAAGCATGGCCGGCATGTAAGGCTGACAACATTACCGCCATCTTTGAGCTGATTGTCTAGATAATGTGGGACCCTCAACGTCTCACAACCCTATGGGCCTTCACGGCCTGTTACAGGGATAGCTTTACTTTACTTTTACTTAGCAAATAGTAACACTTCCCAGGTCATAGCAATGAATGTGAAAGTCATCACTTTCAAGGTATCTGGAGTAACTTGGGATGCTTGAAAATGTTTGCTAGTGTCAGGATTGAAATATCTTCTCTGTGTTCACTACAGATGCTGCATCATTTATGCAAAGTAGAGTTCAGTGCAGTGAAATCCTTTTTTTTAGGTTACTGTTATGAACAGTAATTTACACTAAGATATTAACTTGGGAGCATTGCAATTGAAGAGGGGAACCTTAAATTGAGGAACATAAAGGGGGGTTCCACTCTGTGTGGGAATGTCTATTAAGAGCAGGGGGATGCAAATTTTAGCCTCAGACTTGCTGGAATTAATTTTTATTACAACTTCTTGTACTAAGATATATTTTTCTTTTTGATAAAAACTTTTTTGAAGCAGCTAAATATGGTATTTCTAACAGTACATGGACAGGCCCATCCTGGAGTCCTGCGCAGTCTCTATCCAGTGTCCTCATCTCTATCCAGAGTCTTCTGAATGAAAAGCCCTACCACAATGAGCCTGGCTTTGAAAGAGTAAGTATTCTTGGCAGTAACACACATTAATTTGTCATTACACACAAGAAACATGCAGTTTGATTGAAGCTGCACATGGGAATGTCAGCCATTAGAAACATTCTGCTGGTATGTTCCCCTTAAATATAGAAGTTGATGATGAATATGCCAATTCATGGATATCACATTTAAAGAATGATGGTTTGTGAAGTTATAGCAAAGTGGCATTTCAGCAGTACTTTGCATTTCTCTAGTTCATTGATTATATGTTATGTGCCCACTGCATTGCATTAGCGGATTCTTTCTTTACTGTCTACTGCCATCTGATGTGTACAGTTAAAACTCTTTGAATATAGTTTGTGATTGCATTGTCACATATCTGCTGAGAGCCAGAATTGTGAAGCCAGCAGAGATGGCTGTTGTGTGGAAATGGCTCTTTTAACACATCCATTGTTTGGCAGCGGCTCAGGGGATGTCACATGACCGCGGCAATGCTTACAATCAGCAGTGGAACATATCATGTTGTGTCTCCAACTACATCATCAGTTGTTAGGTGATGGTGAAATAAACACCTCTCCGGCAGAGCAGTAACATCACACAACAACGGGAGAACTGTTGGAAGCAGTGTTTTTCTGTTTGGTATGTTCCGAGGCTCTATCATGACCAACAGGACAAGTGAACTAGAACAGAGAAAGACTGACCCCTCCCTCATCTAACAGGAGGTCCTATTTCTAAACACTTACATGCTTAGGAGAGAACAAAAATCTTCTGCATGGATCTTGAGACTGAGCCATGAATGATTGTGCTGGTGAAGACCAGCAGCATCCTCACCAACTGAACCAGTCTTGGGACAGCAGAATTAGAAGAGTAGGAGGTTGGTGTCAGATGGCTGCAGCCAGTGAGGACGTGAGTCTGGGAGTAGAGGAGCATCTGCTTTTGGAAGATGTTACCCAGCAGCACAGTGAAGACCATGACTGGGAACACCTAGTCTGTGTGTGGTAGTGATTTGTAAAGTGTAGCCATGAGTTAACTTGCAGTTAACAATTGGGAGACAGACCCATCGCAGGTTATAACAGACAGTTGCCCCTGGCTGAGACATGGGAACTGGAGTTTTTTTTATTGCTGGTGGGGTGGGACTAAGTCTCGTGTACTGCAGCCACTTCTGGCCTATTGTACCAGCCCCAGATGCTACGTGAGGGTGATTATGGAGCAATTGGTGGAACGAAGATTGGCAGGGGAACCGAAGTACTCGGAGAAACCCTGCCCCAGAGCCACTGTCCACCACAAATCCCACTTGACCAGACCTGGGATTGAACCCGGGCTGCCACGGTGGGAAGCCAGCCACTAACTGCTTGAGCTATGGTGCGGCCATGAACTCTGAGTTGTGAGATAGACATCAGGCAGTGAGCAGTTGGGAGACACCAGCCACCGAAGCTGAGCAATCTGTGGTGTTGGGAGCAGTTACCAGGTGACAAACAGTGAAGACACAGCAGACTGAGAAGATGTAGAGCTTGCTGTAGTGAATTATAAAGTGTGTGAATTAGCGTTAGCATTATAGTTACATGTAGTTATGATCTGTAAGTGTTTAGTAAATCCAATTACCTGTCCAGACTCCTTGTCTAGTCACTTATCACATGACAGTATGTTATATATGATCATGTGAATGAGTGTGACTGTAGATGGGTTTTGGATTGATGACTTCATTTATTGCACACTTTGATACAGCACGTGACTACAGTTCACTATTAGACACACGCTAGTGTCCACAGTCATATGTCTTCACTGCTGTTGCTTATTTGCAGCTTCAGTGGTGGATGTTCCCCTTCCTCTGGGTTCCCGAACTGTCGCCGTGCCTCAGCTACCAGCTTCTAACAGCAACAGCTTACACCAATTGAACCTCAACAGTTCTCTGACTGCAACTCAGAGTCAGAATCAGAGTTATTTTATGACTTGTGATTTACCACCATTCAGGTCGACTTGGCAACAAGCCCCTTGAGACTCACTTGCGGTTATAGTCCTTATGTAACTTCCTGTGTGATGAGAAGATGGTCCTCACCAGTGCAGTCACTTTCAAGTCAGAGTCCCACGGGACTCATGATCACATTTTACTGTCTCAGATTTTAGACTCCGCAGCCTGGAGGGTCAGGTTCCTATATTTATATCCCCCAGGAACAGGATGGCCCAATTATACCCCCAGTCACTGGAGTTATGACTGCAACTACTTACTGGTTGTGGTTATGACACCTCAGCGCGGACCATGTGGAAAATGTCTCTTCTGTTATTGCTGTATTCTCCTGTTGCTGTGGAAACATGCTTGTGTGTGTGGAGCGGTTACTTTGCAGTAGTTGTTGTATAGCTGCTTGTTTCATGGTCATTGCCTGGCAACAGGCCTACATTCCACAATATTATGTAGGATTCATTGATCTGCATCATTGCATACTCTAATGCATCTGGCCCATGTCATTTGAAAACATGAGTCTGTACTGTCTTACAGGAGAAAGTGAAGAAACTGTTAGTGCTATGAAGAATGAATAACAAGACACCAACAGTGATGATGAGATTTATAAGCTCGAATGAAAGAATGCAGAAGTGACGTAGGTAGTGTAATTGTTGACAAGGTAGAGAGTTGTGAGTGTGGAGGGATTCAAAATTCAGGAATGAAATTTTACAAAGAATGGCCTTCCATGGGGTGTAGATCCCTTGGACTTGTATAGTTTGTTTTTTGATACTCAAAATTGTAACAGAAACTAATAGGTACATGAAAGAAAAACATTCTGAAATTGCAGCCAAACCACATCAGGGTGGAAGAAACAGATTGATTGATATGTGTCATTGAAATGAAATATTTCTAACCTTAATTGTAAGTAAGAATCTGATAACCATTGCCTGACAAAACACTGCTGGTCTAGTGACTGACTGGTTATATGCATGGCATAATTCCATATTATGGAAATATTACAGGATAAGTATGTAATTTGCTGTATGCTGACAGACCTTGCACAACAGGAATATCTGGTCGTCCCTGTAGGGTTTAGCATATGTGGTCTCAAGGGTTAACATCTTACAATATTACAGCAGTGTTGATTTGGTTAAGGAACTGAATGGAAAGGAATGTCATTTAACAAGCGCCACTATTGCTGGCAAGCTAAAGCCAGTGAAACTGGGGGGCCTTCAAGAAGATGAGTGGTGATATTTCTCTGTACAGAAAAGGCAACGTTTTAGGAATGGGGTGAAAAGACAAAAGTGTGGTCCTCATGGTATCAGTGTATCATGACAGAAGCATGGGGAAGATTGTGGCTATTCAGAAAGGGGTCAAGAAATGTAAATCTAAAAGCCAGTGTGTCTGTTGCATGAACTACATGGAAAACATGGACGCTGTTGAGTGAAATGCCCAGTCTTATGCCACATAGTCTTTTATTCATAGATGTTTGAATTGGTGGAGAAAATTTGTTCTAGTTCCTGGGAGTTTGTCTTGTGAATTCCTACATTTTATAATGCCATCAAAAGAAACAGCAGTGCTATGTGTATGATATGTTTGGGTTCTCACTGAAAGTATGATAGAAAACGAGTTTTGTCTTCTGGGATATAACGCCATGTAGTCCATTGAAAGCGAACTGATGTTTTGGAGGAACATGCCACATTCATATCTAGGGTCGAAGCTGAGCTGAGCAAGAAACCATTGTGAAAGCAGGCGGCAAGGAAGTGCTTTCACACTTGTTTTTTGCAGGCTTATGCTTCAACCATATAGATGGAGGTGACATTCCTCTGAAACATCGGTTCACTTTCAGTTGCAGTGGCGGCTCATAGCTAAAGTTAGTGGGGGTGCTGCACCAGAAAATTTGTAGCCTTTGTTTTAAA